AGAACCGTTAGCCAATTTTGCGTACATAGCCTTTAAACATTTGATATATTCTGTGTTTAATGCAATTCGTACGTTTCACTTTGGTGTAATTGTGAATATTCGCAATTAACTAACTGTCGGTATCTATAAAGATGATGGAAGAGCAAAGGAAAGGTCCGTGGTACACGCCGACTGCTAGCCGCACGTAAGAAAATAGTGGCAGTCATTTCATTAAATCTAACAGAATATAAAGTTCAGTATATGTCGAAATAGCAAAGTTAACTTGCTCAGGACTCCTCATATTCAAACTATCATCATCTTCATATTTAACGATGTATTGGTATTTGTAACTGAGTGCTACGTAAAATTTCGTGCAATTTATACAATTAAGTGTGCATAATGTGTAAGAATTAAGTGCACGACATGCCCCATTACATTTAAATGCCTTTGCTGTGTTACGAAGCATGTTTACGACTAAAAGAAAACCTAGTTCGTGCACGGAAAGTCATACTAGCATGTCTCCTTACGTTCCTTCACTATCAAATTCGTTGATATGGTTATGAAATGACCCCTGATTTGTATTCTGTTCCTATTTTTTTCGAGTTGCTCGCTGATATGATTTTGAGTCAGTAGAAGAGTTCGCTTGACGATTTCGATTCACTGTGAATGAGAGGCCTAAGAAATTTGAACGCAGTTTGAAAAGAACAAAATTAGATTAAGAAAATCACCAGTAAAGAGGAATTTTTGTAAGCATCTGAAGCTCTGTCTAAAATGGTAAGATTGATTAGACATTGAGACGGAGTTTCTTACGTCGTCTTTCATCCTCTACAAGAGGCTCGAGATACTTCACTATCTCTTCAACCAGCAACTTTCTGTCTCTCAAATCCAAAGCAACTTTAAAATTCCCACCAAAATCTTCCGAAACAGCCTCTTTAAGCCAATGCAGCTGCTTATCTTCCTCAAGTATCGATCTGAACACATTTACCAAATTCTTTTTGTTCAATGCATCCTCAAACACCTTCACCTCTCCAAAGCCGCTCGAAACAACTTCGCACGACCATCATCCTTGATAGCCACTCTGAGAAAAAACACTAGATTCATATCCTCTAGCAACGCATCGAACTTCTCCGCCCATTTCTCATCAGCTAGTTCCTTTTTGTGTCTTGAAAACCTTTTCTTGTCGTCCAAAACCAATCTAAATTTTTTGAAATGATCTTCATACCTGACAGCCTCTCTAAGCAATTGCACTTTCTCCTGATCGTCGAAAATCGCGTTGAGCGACTCTACCGTATCCAATTCCGTCCTACCTAGCATATCCTCAACCGAGTTTAAACGTCTTGCTCCTTCAAAAGCTTTTCCCAGCATCTTAAGATCGACAGCAATCTCCAAAGTTGCTTTGATCAACTGCGAATTCTCATTATCCATGACCAACATTTGGAGCACATTCATAACATCAACTTTACTAGGCTTCAGCGTTTCATAACCTTCTGTCAGACACGATTTAGGGTACAGCAGATCGTTACGCTTCAAACTCTCTTTGAGTATCCACACTAGGTACTTGTTATTGATCACATTTTGAAGCGTTTCAGCGAGATTCTCGTCGTTCAGCAGCGCCTTAAACGTTTTAACAATTCTCTCACCACCTAATTTATTATTAAATGCAGCGGCAAGATTCTTCTCCTCCAAAGCCTTAACGACCAATTTCGCATTGTCTTCAGATTGTAATGCAGCTTTAATCAAACGGATGTGATCGTCATGGAGATGCGACAATCGAATTTTGCATATCGTTCAGACTTAGGAGCCACTATCGTCAATTGTTCTCTCAATTCGCGCCGAAACATATTGAGATGAACTTCAGCAGATTCACTATCTCGTAGTCTCATTATTTCTTGGACTTGTGGCATAATGCATTCTGTCTTTCTCGCCTCGTATCGATGCAGCTGAAACGAGTAAACGCAGCGAGATGGATCCAGTAAAGGCTCAAACAGAGGTTAGGATGCATGGAATAATGGTCATGAAGCGACACGAGATTAGGATCTTTCAAAGTTTGTAAGCGATTAGATAGCTCACGGGTCTTCTCATTACGCCATAAACCATACACGAGGCTGTCAATATACTTGTCGATGGAGGTAGGGATTGGTTCGATCGGTTCGATCGCTGTAGTTCGATAAGTTCCCAGCCAAGTAATCAAATCACCTCCTTCGTAACCTTTCGTGAAGAGTCGAGCAACGTCGCTTGCGACGTCGTCTACGACTGGCATTGGTAATGTCGTCAATCTGCCTTTTACTTCATACATTTTGCTGGCGTAGTACAACAGCGGAATGTGTAGTTCAAGGTTGAAGAACTCGTCGAGATAATTGTCTTTTGTTTGCCAACAAAACTTGTGAATATCGTTGATAAGTGTGTTCCAGATGTGAGGAATTCAATTTCTGTCTCCTCGCGTGTTGTAGGGTCCTTTAGCAAGATAAAGACAGTCAAGTGAACAAAAAATTCAAAATCATCAGTTGGTAAGGAAACTTTTTTACGCGTTTAAGTAGATTCCTATTTTGTAGTGTACTCCGTTTCTAGATCTCCAGCAGGACTATCGCTTTCGCTACAGGGCTCGACTGGGGCTTGATGTTTGCATCTTTAGATGGCAATGGGGTGGATACATGCAATGGGGTCCTCTTTCTAATGAAAGTAAACATCCTTATCTTTCCGTCAGTTTCATCATTGTCGGTATTGTCTTGCACACTCTCATTATAGCTCATTAACTTTCCTTTAGCAACGGTCGAGGAACTATTTGACGAAGGCAGCGAATCATTCAAATGACTTTCGAAAACGACTGGATCTTCATGCTGGATCATACTCAAATTAGACGTAGCAGATACACTGACATCAAGCAGTTATAAAGTCGAAAGGTTCGGCACGAACATCGTCAAGTTTATCGATAAAGATACACCGAGATCCATGCGACAAAAGATTAGATGTAGCCTTTCGATTTGTCCACCACATAATCTGGTCTATCCGGCTCTCGGGACATTCTTTTATCAAATTTTTGATTCATTTTCACTGTGAACAATTTGCACATTTATAAATAATAGAAAATCTCGTCCTATCACAACTAATGTGCAGCTGCTATGCTTGAAGCACATCTCAATTGATGTTGCCACGTATGCATCTGTCTTAAAGTAAGTCAAAATATAGTACATAAATGTAACATCAATGGATTGTCAACAACCCACATCTTCTGGTCCACTCCGGACAATTTTTGGTGTCTCGTTCAATAAAAAGAATTGGTCCGCAAACGTTTCGATATAATTAAAAATGAATTGCTCGGTGTTTATGTGAAAATGATGGTCGACACAGTTTAAATAACATCAGTAAGACATGCATGTGCTAAGAAATACTGCAACGTCATTGTCACCTTAGATTGAAAACCATAAGAAAGTCAGCACTATTTGTGACAGCGTACAAGAAGTGTAGCCATGTCTATGGGCCAATTAAAAGTTGTCTATGCGTAAGTATTAAATTTATGAGGGTTGAGGTGAAATTAGCTAGTAAAAATATTCATTTCGATTACAACTTTTCTACTAAGCATTTCCAATTTATATGATTATGCATCTTTGTGCACAATTTTAGCATTTTTTGTGAAATTGCCAGAAAACCATTTTTTTAATTTTATACATTGAATACCTTTAGGTTAAATTATACAGCTATTTAAATATCATGATATTTTTCATCTTCTTCATAGTCATAAATATATTATTAAGTTTCTTTCGCGTGAATGACGTCACAAGGATTACGGTCATGTTCACAATTACTATCATGATTTTAGATGCTGATTACGGACATAATGGTTGTCGTGCATTGGTCCAGATAAATAAGATTACATTAGGAAGCTTCTGGAAGGATCTAGAAAGACAAAGTTAGAGATTAGCAAGCTTAAAGAATTACTTTTGGTTTTTGCCACAGATATATATGTTGTATTAGTATCAGTACTATTTTTACTCGCTGGCGTTCCGTATCGGAGCTAATAAGCAGCCACCAACCGTTCAGACAATCAGGGGAAAGCTTCTTGCATTCTGACTCATAAATATTTGGGGCCTTCTTTTGCATATATAGTTACCAGCCAAAAAACTCTTTTTGTTATGATGACGCATAGCGGTGACGTACAAGGATTACGGGAATGCGTACCATGATTACAAAATGATTATGGACGTAGTGACCAGTCTTTTTTAATCACTTGGTAGGCATAGAGGTAGCACAGCGTAGCGAGCTCAAGACCTTATGTTTTCATTTCAGTTTATATTAACACACATACACTTTTTTAGCTCTCAATGGCAAATATCTATTCATCTGAACCAGCCGTAACTTTCGTATGAGTGCTAAAACGAGACGTTTGTTCATGCGTTTTTATGAGCTAAGCGATCATTCACAAATAGTGCTGACTTCCGTATGGTCTTCAACCAGATTGAAATCTAAGGCTATGATGACTTCGCTATTGTTTTTCAAAGCAAAATTCATGTGAAAAGTGATGTTATTTTATACTGTACCGACGATCGGTTTTTCATACATACCAAGCAATTCAGTATTAAATTATATTGAGGCATTTGAATGACGGACCAATTGTCTTCATGAGAACGGTGCAGAAAATTAGTTTGGCTGATAAAGTCAGTGTGGACCAGATGATCGACCATCCGGCTG